TGCCTCAGCCTCCCAAGTAGCTGGGACTACAGGCACCCTCCACAATGCTCAGCTATTTTTTGGTTGTAGTTGTCATTGTTGTTTGGCAGGCCTGGGCTGGATTTGAACCCGCCAGCTCTGGTGTATGTGGTGGGCGCCCTAGCCACTGAGCTACAGGAGGTGAGCCTTGGAACAGCACTAAGGATGCAGCAGCTGCTCAATAAACGTACCTGGAGGAAAGAGGAGCTCCGCCCACTCTCTAGCCCTACTTTTTCGAGAGACCCACTCTGGAGATACGTCTTTCCAGGTATCTATGCATAAATAATTATATAATATGTAAACAATCATAACTAATGCATATAGGAGTACCTGTTTTATTTGGGGAAGAAAACCCGAAGCCTTGAGATGCCACACTTCCTCCTCCAGAGCTGAACGTGCCGGTGGGTTTCTGCTCTCCAAATGATGAGCTGGCAAATCCACCAAATGTCTTGGCCCCACTGTTTCCAAAGAGGTTAGAGGTATCTGAAGAGATGAAGACGGGTGACGGGTGAGGGAGATCAGAGGGAGAGAAATGCCAAACCTCAGTTGGGTGTTGGAGGAAGCAGGAGTGACAAGAAGCCTAGGACCCAAGGGAACTGAGCTGTGGAGCAACAGAGACGTTCTCTGATTTTCATGCAACTTGATGAGTTTTTAATCATTTTGGCACCAGGCTCAAGATTTCCTGGCTTATTACAGGCATAAAATAAGGGGGGAGCGAGGAATCCCGCCATAGAGGCTCCTTTATAGAAAGTCACCCTGGCCTTCCCGTGGGCATCAGGCCTACCCAGCTGCACACAGGCTGCTGTCATTGCTTTCACTGGACTCTTCACATCAACATCAACTTCAAATTTGGTCAAAGTAGGGAGATTAAAGTTAGAGCAAATGTAAACCCAGGCATAATGGCTTCTAGCACCTACTTTCCGCTTTATAGTCCTGCTTGGCACACTCAAAAGTTGCCAGAGCTGCTCAGAAAATGGCAAATGAGACGGGAAAAATCACGGTGCTCCCGTCTATCCCGGGACAGGAACCAGGGAGGCTCTGCAGAATGTAAAGGGGACAACCCAACTTCCAGTCCCATCTCCTTTTCCTAAGAGGTTCAATCAAGCCCTTCACTTTCTACCTGCTTATCTAGAGGGCCACTCTCTCTTTCAACTATGTGCTGAGTCTACTCCAAGAACTGAAGGAAAAAAGGACCTACTAAAAACCAAGATGAGGCTGGCCACGGTAGCTCCTCATGCCTGTAATCTCAGTACTCTGAGGCCAAGGTAGGCAGATTGCCTGACCAGCCTGAGCTAGAGTGAGACCCCGTCTCTAAAAAATAGCCGGGTGTTGTGGTGGGCACCTGTAGCCCCAGCTACTTGAGAGGCTGAAGCAAGAGAATCACTCGAGCCCAAGAGTTTGAGGTTGCTGTGAGCTGTGATGCTACATCACTCTACAAGGGCAACAAAGTGAGACTGTTTCAAAAAAAAATAAAAAGAGTTCGTGTGTCCCTCAGCTGGGAAGGATGCGTTGAGGTTGGCAATACCCATCAAGGACAGTAACTACCATGGCTTCCAGGGCTTTCGCCAGACCTCAGATGCGTGGCCTCTTGGCCAGGCGCCTGCAGATTCATATTGTTAGAGCATTTGTTGTATCCCTGGGGGTTGCAGTTTTCTGTAAGTTTGCTGTGGCTGAACCAAGAAAGAAGACACATGCAGATTTCTACAGAAATTATGATTCTATGAAAGATTTTGAGGAGATGAGGAAGGCTGGTGTCTTTCAGAGCATAAAGTAATTTTGAAATATAAAGAATTCCTTTGGGCTGATTTACACAGACGTTTGTCACTGACCTGTGTTCCTGAGATATGAATATGAGTGATAAATAACTAATAAATCAAAAAAAATTTTTAAAAATAAGTTACTCAAATAATATAAACAACACACTATAAATCAGGATTTAAAAAAAACTTTGGGGGGCCAGGAAAAGGAGAAATAACACATTTTCCCACCATGTCTGGATGGTGCCTCATTAAAGTTAGTTTGTCCCCACTACAAGGCAGGGAGACGTGTTCAAAGACATGAGCATAAATGCGAGACAAACATGAGCTCTGAGGAACTGCAGGTGGGCAATGTGACTCTGTCACCAAGCGGCAAGTGTGAGCACCTGAGCAAGACCAGTTTCTGCCCACACCAATCAGGTGCTCGTGATGAAAGGGAAAAAGCAGAAGGGAAGACTCAAAGTGGAGCTGCTGGGGAGATGGTGCACCCCTAACCTGTCTACTGCTGTCCCTCATCCTGCTCTGCTCTACCCACCCCAACGGGAGACCAAGCAGGGCTGACACCTCCAGTTGCAATGCTGACCCACAGGCCAGGAAGGCGGTGGCCTCACTTCAGGGACCCAGCCACCTCACACCTCTAGACATCAGTAACATAATACCAGAGACTCCGGCCACCACATGCGGGTCACTGCTCTAGAAAACCACTGCTGACAACCTGAGAGCCCGACTCAGGACCTGCATGTGGGGGATGGCAGGCGCTGACAGGTGGGGTGGCTATGAAATCCCTTCACCTCGCCCTCACGTTTGGAGCCACATCCATCCCTCGGTAGAGCCCACAAAACGCCCTGTGGAGCAGCCTGATCTTTCCCTTGATGGACTCGCCCAAGGGTACATTCGATTCCTTCAGTGCCAGCTCATCGGACACTTCTGACACCACAGGCTTCTTAGCCGTTCCTTCTGCTTAGTATTTCAGGAACAGAGGGCTGCAATTTTCTCCGTTACTGCTAGCAATGCAAAATTTCAAATAGCAAACAAATTCAAGCACAGGATTTGGGGCTGTATTTCCTCTTGGGGAAATTTGGTTGCAACCATATGAAATGAGCAGTGAAATGATTTTACTGAGACAGTGACAGAAGAATTAAATTCCTGAGAAGTCAGAGGTCACTGAAAGTCTTTTGGTTTTTTAATCTTTTTAAGAACCCTTTCTCTTTAAGATCTTCATAGCGTGTTACAGTGGAACAAGCATCAGGTCTGGAGTCACACCTGGGTTAGGGTTCCTAACAGTTCCTTGGCACTGACTATTCCTAGGTCCCAGTTTCCTCACGTATTTAAGCAGGGACAGCAACTCTGACTATGTAAGGCTGTTGGGAAAATGAGATAATGTGGTAGGGAGCCCACTGTGCACCCGCAACTCCAGATCCAGATCCAGTACCCTGAGGCAGAGAGCAGGTGAGCAGAGAATGAAATCCTTTTCATTCTGTAAACACTCCAAGAAGTTCATCAGGAAAGCTGTAATGGCTGTCTTTAGTCTCAAAAGGAGCTATATCACTTACTCAAGGCACTCTGAAACAAAGTGGCAGGAGGCAATGTCTGTTTCTGTTTCCACAGTCAAAATAACTCTTGGTTCCCTCCTAATGGCTCCAAAATAACATAAAATTTCTAGCTTTTGAAAATACAATAAAGGGTAGCACCTGTGGCTCAGTGAGTAGGGCACTGGGCCCATATACCGAGGGTAGTAGGCTCGAACCTGGTCCCAGCCAAACTGCAACAAAAAATAGCCGGGTGTTGTGGAGGGCACCTGTAGTCCCAGCTACTTGGGAGGCTGAGGCAAGAGAATCACCTCAGTCCAGGAGTTGGAGGTTGCTGTGAGCTGTGACGCCAAGGCACTCTACCGAGGGTGACAAAGTTACTAACGGAGAGTTCAAGCACACTCTGAAGGAAGCCCTGGTCCAGGATATTGTTCAAGACATTTTCTTATGCAACAGTTTTAGGGGAAGCCTTGTGAACTCACAAGATGATTTTCAAATGGCTTCTTCATCTCCTGGCATAAATATGTTTTTAGTTCCTGAGCAGAAAAAAATGACTCTAAACAGTGTCTTCAGGACAAGATTCAAGAAAGTGATAGTTTCTTATGGGTAACAACTCACAGTGGTGTTAAATTTTACATGACCTGAAGGGTTAATAGGTTATCTGTGGTGGGGTGTCTGGATGACAGAGAAAAGAAACTCTTACAAGGTTTGTGCTTGTAAGTACAAACTCCAAGCAATAGTGTCCTCAGCTTGTCTTCCATGGTCATTGCCATAATTCTCATGACTTCTCAGAGTTAAAAAGGTGAGCTCCAGGACTAGGCAGCCTATAGCAGAAATGTCACAAGATTACTGCTGGTTCACCCCGCCTGTGCTCAGAGGGCTATCTGTCATGGAGTCTGTTCCACGCCAGGCAGAAGGAGTGCAGTGCTGTCCAGCGAGGCACTGCTGGGAGTGTTCTGCTACCCTACCAGGCTGGGGAAGGTCTCAGGAGGAATCCTGGTCTACCACAGCTTGGAAACACACCAGACTATAAACTGGCTATGCCCTTAGCAGCTGTGCAATCTCTGCAGCTCGCAGCCCTGTTGAGAATGTGTTTCTTTGTCAGTAAAATGGGGATGGCCACACCTAACAGCCCTGCTTATGATGGGATTAGAGCATCTGGCACACAGCAGGTGATTAATAAAGGTTAGTTCCCTTCTGCTTGATCTGTGAAGGAATGGAATCCCAGTGCTGCAGGATTTCCAGACAGGGAGAGATGACTGTGGGCTGCCTGACCCTGAGGCTTAAGTGCCCTGAGGAACAGCCTTGTGTTTATCCCACGAGAAGGGTGGGTTCAAACAGGGTGGAGGGTGCAGTGTGAACCCTGGCACTGAAGTAGGGAGAGGTGAGGGGTGTGTGTTGACAGGAAGCAGACAACTGGCCAGAGCAGAAGGAATGTGCTGGAGAATTGAATCAAAGTCAGAAGGTGCTTTGGGGTCAGCTCACGGAGGGCCCTGAACTCCAGTCTGAAGTTGATTTGGACTTTATCTTATCGTCAGTGGGAAGCCACCAAAGGCTTTTGAGTAGGGAAAGTGGCAAAATGAAAGCTGTTTTGAGACACTCCATTCGGGATGAACTTCCAGACCACAGTGAGGAGCCTAGTGGCAGGGAGGGGTGCATGGAGATGACTGTGATGGCCCAGGGGCTGGCAGGGACACTGACTGGGAGAACAGAAAAGCAGCAGGGCAGGTTTAAGAGGCAAGAAGGCACCAGGGGAGGCAATTCACACAGTCTGGGAAAGAAGGGACACTCAAAGGACTGGATGTTGCAGAGTCACCCGCGGAGAAAGAGGCTTCCCCGGTGACTTTGCAGGAAGCATTACTATACTGTGGTGAGGACAATGCTCTTCCCCAGATGACTTCTAACTCCTCCTCCTCGTTTCCTGTACTTGGTCCTTGGCATTAAAACAATTCCTGTTCCTTTCGCTATCAAATCATACATTTTAGTTTTTAAAAATAAAGCAATATTGTCTTTCTTCTACTCCTTCAAATTCACTTAAACTTCCCACAAGCATAAACGTAAATTGTTGGTTTACAGTGAAAACGTTGTTTCAATGTTACACAGAAGCTATTATTCCGTAATTGAGTATGGAAAGTGAAACGAAGTGATACATCCCCTGCACAATCCACGCTGCCTCTGGGGATCACTCTTGCTTAGGTGTATATAAAGATGAAGATCTGGAATAAAGTAATCCAAAAGCGGCTTTCTCCAGATATAGCTTATGAATTATGACTAAGATGAAACAATGCAGGGATTTGCTTGAACCTCATTCTGGTCATGGTTTTAGGAAATATTGGCGTTTTAGGCAAAGGGTCTGTTACAGTCCATGTGATTTGTCTGTCTCATCAATAAACTGAAGAACTTCCTTATATCATTATTGGTAACTTCTATCTATGGTAAAGTTTTAGCAGAGTTTTCATAAAATTGTTCCATTTGGCAGTGGTATAAATTGGTTTGAAAATTAACTAAATAAAAACAATCATTATCAGAAAGTGAATCTGTCACTTCACTGATCCTCTGTGGATCACTAAGTTCAACAGTTACAACACCCAAAATATCTATGTAATCCTTTAAGGTCGGTGTAATGTGATTTTCAATCCACTCTTCTTCAAAATCACTTCCACTAACAGATTCTATTACATTTCTTCTTGCCATTTTGATGGTCTAATATCAGACTCATAACTGTCTTCTGATAAACTATCATTTTCCAGATCACTATAAAAATATTTCAGAATCACTTGGACAATCAGATAAAGCATCTGAATATAATTCATTGAAAAATTCTTCACCATCATGATCTGTCAAGGTTGAAAATTTTGTAATACTAGAATTATGATAAAAACCTGAATATCTAGAAACCTATTGAATATCCTGAAATCTAGAATATCTATTTTTTTATAGTAAAGTGAACATGACTGAAACACGATCAAGAAAGCTTTTATGATTACCTTGCGTTTTAAAAATTGCAATAGCTAAGCAAATGCAAACATGAGTTAACTTGTGACCAGTCAACAATGTGTTAATAGACAACATTTGGGAAATGAAGCTCAACAGGTATCCAGTATTAAGAATAGCCGTGTTTATGTTGAGCCAGACTTAAAGAACTAGAGATAATGATGTGCCAGTGTCTGACAACAAACCGCGAGAGGAGCCCTGGTTTCCAGCATATAAATGCTCCCCCAGGGCTGATTTTGGCTCCACAAAGTGAGGTCACTGCTGCAGGGTTGGGAAGAGACTCCTGGCTCTCCTGAGTCAGTATCAGCTGATCAGAAAGCCATGGCATTGGAGAAGAAATCAGCCAGGAGCAAGTGAACTTTTTTACAGGGCTATGATACAATGAAATGTCAACAAAATTGGCTAGTAACCCCATCTCACAGGTGACAGCCCCAATGTTATCAAGGGCTTATTCTGTGTCAGATGCTGTGTTTGGCTTGGTACATATGAGTTTTAGATCTAAAAGTGTCTTGCTTTTATGACTTAAAAAAAAAAATATCACCTAACCATTCTGGGCTTCGTTCCTCACTGGAAAATGCAGAGAACTATGAAAGGGTCCTGTTTTCAAAGTATACACTAGGGAGCCCCCAAGCCCACAATGGCGGCCAGAGGAACTGCCTATCTGCATCTGGAGGCTCGTGAACTGAGCTTTGGCAAAAACATGTTTTTATTTTCCTTATTAGCATTGTGCTTAAGAATTCATAGGAAAAACATTTTTTTGAAAACTACTAAGCTTCATTTCTAAGAACCCTTCATTCTTGGATTCTAAATCCCTCCTGACAGACTAGAAGCTGAAAAACAAACAATTCCAATTATGATTTTGCCAGATAAGAGGTATGTTCTTCTTGACAAGTCATCTCTCCTTACATATTGCTGGAGTGGACGGTAACATCAAATTAACGAGGTTTTGATCTATGAATGCAGAGGGGCAAATCAGGAGAGAGAGCTTTGCTTTTAACGGCAGGGACCTTAATTCTGAGGAAACATCTGTCGCGACTGCAGAACCTGAGCTCACGATTCATGATGATCTCACATAGCACAGACGAGTGGAGGCACACGGAGCACATTAAGTAAAAGGGATCAGACAAAGAGGGCAGGCGCCCCACTTCCGACTCAGCTCCCATCAGCAACAAGATTGCTTTGTAAAGATTCCAGGTGTCCAAACTTTTTCATTTTCTGTCGCACACTGAAAGAGCTGTTGTCTTGGGTCACACGGTAAATACACACGCACTAATGAAAGCTGATGCTCAGAAGAAAAGGCCCAGGCACACCTTTCGCAATGTCCCACGCCACAGCTAAGCAAAACCATCCTCAAATAATCTGTATGCAGCCTATGGGCTGCAGGTTGGACATCCCTGGTTTAAATAAACAAATTTCTTTCATTTTTAACCAAGAATAGACAGCTCAACAAAGAATTTTGTTATTATTTTTTTGAAACAGGGTTGTACTCTTGTTGCCTTGGCTAAGGCCACCATGCATGGTCTCAACAATTTTAAAAATTAGCTAAAGAAGAAAGTGCTAGCAGATACATCTTCAGATGAAAATAAAACCAAAATGTAAAAGATGAAAAATACTAAAGCCTTCAGCTTTTCAGTGACATTCCTCCGCAGAAGCTGAATTTTAAAGCAAATTCAAAGACAGCACTACTGGAATGAAAGTCCACACGCTCCCTCTGGCACCCTCAGCTTGTTTCACTGCTGCTCATTTATGCCTGTCTGCCTGCATTCACTTTGGTCAATTCCCACTCAGAGCATTCTGGGCCTTGGGAGAGGGGAGCAGCTCAGGACACAGATCTCTCCCTGCAGCTCTGATGTCTTCTCATGATTGTATAGGACATCTCATTAAAAAACCCAAAAATACAAAAACAAAAACAAATCAGCTGTGGGTAGTTGTTTTAAATGGGCCTTCTAGACCTTTTTCCTTCCTTTTTATATTTGTCACTGAAGCTTTGATAACACCACAAGGATGACAATGGCATCAAGGGACTGAGGGACTGGGAAAACCCTTCTCAACTTACTTGGGGTGGCTGTAGATCCAAAGCCCCCGCTGGCTGCGCTGAATGGGTTTTTGTTGGCTGCATCCTGGCTGGGTTTCCCTCCAAGGCCACTGAAGAAACCTCCCCCTCTTCCAGTATTTCCAGACCCAAACACACTGCCACTGGAAGAGGACGACTGCTGAAAAACAAAAGGGTCAGGAAGTAAGATAGGATGAGAGGTCATCAGAAAATGGCAGGCCATATCCGTGGGCAGGAGGTGCTCACACTGGTACAAATGGAAAATGCAAGGGAGCTCAGATTAGCTCCGGTGTGGATGTGGACAGGGACTTCCTACAAATCAGAAGTTCTCAAGTTATTCTACCACCACAGTTCTCTAAAAACGTTATTAACAGGAGGTGGGAACTTGTAGTGTTTATCAGCCCTGCTGCCTAAAGTCTGAGACAATGCCAGAAAAACAGACATCCACCAAATAGAAATGTTTAAAAACATCTCGTGGTTACTATGAGCACACTTATTCTGATTCCTCCAGTGTCTGGGTGAACTCATCAGCAATGGATAAGTGATTTATACTGTCTTTCTCTCAATTTGTGCATTTTATTTCATAATGACTTTCTCAGTGCTGCAGAAATAAGCTTAAATTAGCTTCACTGTTGAAATGATGACCACAGCTGAATTCTGTCCAAGTTCCTGTATCTTATGCTCAGAGGATGCTGCTAACTTAGGGGTAGACGCTGACTCAAAGCTGTATCAGGCATCAGACACTTGATTTCTGTTTAGAAACTGGTTCTTTAAGAACAACCAGTTCTACATTTGAGGGCCCACTCACATTAGTTAAGTGTGTTATCTCCTTGGCTGATGGTGCAGAATAAAGATGGGCTTTTGAAACGTCGCTGTGCACAGGAACTTACAGGAGCCTCTTTCAAATGGAGGGCATAGTCGTGGTATTAGTCCTTTTTGTAAAATGGGGATAATAAACTACCCCCCTCAAAATGGTCTGTAAATTATATGAGCTAAGAAACATAATCCTCTTTAGAACAATGCCTGAAATGGAATTACCTGATCAAAAACAGTCGCTGCTGAGTATTTTAACAATACCAACAGGATGATGATCAAGCACTCTGCATAGGTACTTTCCTAAGTAATCATTTAATTTTCATAAGAGTCAAACCTCCAGGTGACCTCTCCCAAAACATCTCCCCAGCACTTCCCTCTTCTCTAGTCTGCTCTGAACAAACTAAACCCAACCCTTTGCCTGGACTATGCAGCAACTTACCTGTGTTCACCAGCAGGTAGAGTATCACTGAAATGGTAGTGGGATTATTTCACCCCTTTTTACAAATTCTAACAGACCCTCTGTGATCTGTCTCCGTCTCTCTCACATCTTTTATCATCCTCTCCCTCCCTTGGTACAGTCTGCCTTTTGTTCCTAGAACATGACAAGCTTATGTTTGCCTTAAGGCAACTGACTTAATGTACTTGCTATTCTACCATATTTTTTTCCTTTAAACTTCTTAGAAAAAAAATACAGCCTATAACAGTTCACTATAGCCATTTAATGACGAGTAACAGCTAGGAATCCAATCCAATCCAATCCAAGCACAAAAGCGCAGGCTTTGGTAAGCAGTCAACTGCCACCGAAAGGAAGAAGGCACGGCAACTGACGTTTCTTTTTTTTTGAGACAGAGCCTCAAGCTGTCCCCCTGGGTAGAGTGCTGTGGCTTCACTGCTCACAGCAACCTCCAACTCCTGGGCTCAAGCCAGGAGGTGAGTCTCCTGCCTCGGCCTCCCAAGTAGCTGGGACCACAGGTGCCTGCTACAACGCCCGGCTATTTTTTGGTTGCAGCCATTAGTGTTGTTTGGCGGATTCGGGCTGGATTCGAACCCACCACCTTAGGCATATGTGGCTAGTGCATTAGCCGCTTGAGCCACAGGCGCCGAGCCACAACTGACGTTTCTATGTAGGAAGTATCACACTGTTTAGCCGACTGCCACCTATCAGGCTGAAAGGCAGAAAACTGCTGGTAGGTGAACATTCTGCCTGCAAACCCTACCAATTTTAGAAGGTTTAGCCTAATTTTAATAATGTCATTTGATAATGGTTACCCACAGAAATGAATAGAGCAGATAACTAATGTACTTCACTGAAGTGGATATGAACTGATAGTTACTGCACCCTCACGAATGGCGACAGAGAATTCTATTCAATGTAGCCTAGGAATGAAGCAGATCCCAGACTTGGCAATTATTTCATCTCATCATTCCCAGTATACATCTCAGCAAACCATAACCACAGCACTATTATGACAGAAAAATTTAATAATAACTCCTTAATATCACAGATAAGGACTAAGTCAAATACTTCACAGGAAGTAAAAGAGGACCAAGGACCAAGTTAACTCTGAGGCCACATCACAAGGATGCAGTCAGCAATGAGAGCCTGGGGAGCTACAGGACAGATGACCAGCTCTGCTCAACAAGTGACGGTGAGGATGAATAAGAAATGGAGACAAGAAGGGGAAATCTACAGAGAGACTGAAGAGGTGTATTAGCAAAACTCAATGTGTGGCTCTTACCTGGTCCTAATTCAAAGAGACAAAATGTAAAAAGAAAAAGAGAGATATTTATCTGACTTCTTTGGAGAGGTATTTCCTGCCCATCTGACCTAACCATCTTTCCCGATTATCATCACATGCTTTATTTCTTCCCAGTACTTACCACTCTTAGAAATTAAAGACTGATCCACCTCACCATATAGAAGCTTTGTGAGCATTGCCACTTTTGTCTGTCTTACTCACCACTAATTTCTACATGAATAATACATTAATTTGGACAGGCCCTGGTTTCAGTCTACGAGTATTGGGATTACAGGCATGAACCACCTGTACTTTGTGTTTGTATAGATTGAGTCAAAGTTATACATACAAGTGCAGCCTTCACCCAGACAGAGTACCCCACAGGTGTGGATTCACCTGTCTACTCTTCACCCGCAGCCTGACTTTCATTAAGGTTCCATAAGTGAAGCCGGGAGTGGTGTCTTGTCTGTAATCCCAGCACTCTGGCAGGACAGGCTGGATGGACTGCCTGAGCTCAAGAGTTCAAGATCAGCCTGAGCAAGAGTGAGATGCCATCTCTTAAAAAAAATAAAACCACAGGGCATTGTGGCAGGTGCCTATAGTCCCAGCTACTTGGGAAGTTGAGGCAAGAAAATCGCTTGAGCCCAAGAGTTTGAGGATGCTGTGAGTTATGATCCCACAGCACTCTATCCCAAAGTAATTGAGACTCTGTCTCAAAAAAAAAAAAAAAAAAGATTTCATTTGTGCACTTAGTTCCAATTTGGTATTGAGTAGACGTGTTTGTTTCTCCATTCTTGTAGTATTTCATTTAGAAGAATAGTTTCCAGTTCCCTCCAGGTTGCCCCTGCCAAAATACTAGATGGCCTTTTTTTTTTTTTTTTTTAAATTCCTGAGGAGTACTTCATAGTATGCAAATACCACAGTTTATTAATCCATTCGTGTATTGGCAGGCACTTGGGTTGTTCCTACAACTTTGCAATTGTGGATTGTGCTGCTATAAACATTTAAGTGCAGGTGTCTTTTTAATAAAATGTCCTTTTGGCTCGGCGCCTATAGCTCAACTGGCTAAGGCACCAGCCACGTACACCTAAGGTGGTGGGTTCGAATCCCCAGCCCGGACCCGCCAAACAACAATGACGGCTGCAACCAAAAAATAGCCGGGCGTTGTGGCGGGTGCCTGTGGTCCCAGCTACTTGGGAGGTGAAGGCAGGAGACTCGCTTGAGCCCAGGAGTTGGAGGTTGCTGTGAGCTATGATGCCATAGCACTCTATCCAGGAGGACAGTTTGAGGCTCTGTCTCAAAAAAAAAAAAAAAGTCCTTTTTTCCTTTGGTTATATATTCCCAGCAGTGTGACTGCTGGATTAAATGAGAAGTCTACCTGAAGTTCTTTGCGGTTATCTCCATACCATTTTCCACAGAGGTTGCACTAGTTTGCAGTCCCTCCAACAATGTGTAAGAGTTCCTTTCTCTCTGCATCCAAGCCAGCATCTGTTAACGCTATACCTGAAGTTTTCATCTATTTTGTGTAGGAACAGTACATTTTATAAATAAAACACAATTTACTTATCCATTCTTCAACTGATAAGCATTTGTTTCCTGTGTTTAGCTATTAAGAATATTATCCTATTGGCTTGGCGCCTGTGGCTCAAGTGGCTAAGGTGCCAGCCACATACACCTAAGGTGGCGGGTTCGAATCCAGCCCAGGCCCACCAAGCAACAATGACGGCTGCAACCAAAAAATAGCCGGGCGTTGTGGCTGGTGCCTGTGGTCCCAGCTACTTGGGAGGCTGAGGCAGGAGACTCACTTGAGCCCAGGAGTTGGAGGTTGCTGTGAGCTATGATGCCATAGCACTCTATCCAGGAGGACAGTTTGAGGCTCTGTCTCAAAAAAAAAAAAAAAGAATGCTATCCTATCAACATTCTTTTTTAAAATTATTATTATTATTTTTTAAGAGATAGGGTCTTACTATGTTGCCCAGGCTGCAGTGCAGTGGCTATTCACAGGTGCGATCCCACTACTGATCAGCACCGGAGCTTGGACCTGCTCCGTTTCCAACCTGGGTCAGTTCATCCCTCCTTAGGCAACCTGGTGGTCTCCCGCTCCAGGGAGGTCACCATATTGATGATGAACTTAGTGCAGACATACCTGATTGGCATAGCACACTACAGCCCATAACTCCTGGACTTAAGCGATCCTCCTGTCTCAGCCTCCCAAATAGCTGGGACTACAGGGACGCAACACTGTGCCCAGCAAACATTATTTTTTTAGAAACAGGGTTGCTCTCTGTTGCCCAGACTGCAACAGAGACTGGCAGTGGCATCATCACAGCTCAAACTCCTGAGCTAAGGAGACCCTCCTGACTCAGCCTCCAGAGTAGTTAGGACTACAGGTGTGTGCCACCACACCCAGCTAATTTTAATTTTTCATTTTTTTGTAGAGACAGGATCTTGCTTTTTGACCAGACCAGTCTTAAACTCCTGGTCTCAAGTGATCTTTCTGCCTTGGCCTTTCAAAGTGCTGGAATTACAAGCATCAGACACTGTGCTTAGTCTACAATGAACATTCTTATCCGTATCTTTTGCTGAGCAAAAACATTCTTGTTTATTAGATATTCAAGGTAGATCTGCTATGAGGGGTCCATAGGAATTTTGTATATTTAGTTTTGATACTGCCTGATGGCTTTTCAAAGTGGTTAATGGGATTTTATACTTTCACCAGCAATATATGAGAATTTCTCTCTTTTTTTGTTTTTTAGAGACAGAGTCTGACTTTGTCACCCTCGGTAGAGTGCTGTGGCATCATAGCTCACAGCAGCCTCCAACTCTTGGGCTTAGGTGATTCTCTTGCCTCAGCCTCCCAAGTAGCTGGGATTACAGGTCCCCGTCACAACACCCGGCTATTTTTTGTTGCAATTTGGCTGGGGCCGGGTTTGAACCCACCACCCTTGGTATATGGGGCTGGCACCCTACTCACTGAGCCACAGGCACCACCTAATAGAATTTCAGTTGCTCTTTTCCTCACTAGTATTTGGCATTATCAGCCCTTTTAATTTCATTTAATTTGGGTGTAGCTATATTTTCTTCTTTTTGATTTGTAGGAATTCCTTACATACTCTGAATACAATTAATCCTTTGGTTATATAGGCTACAATTTTCCTATTTCATGGTTTGGTCTACCCTAACATTAAGAAGGCTATAATTTTAGTGAGGTAGAATTTTTCTTCTGCCTGAGGACTATCTGTTAGAATTTCCTTCAGGTCTGCTAAACATGCATTCTGTCAGTTGGTTTATCTCAAACAAAAGTCTTGATTTTTACTTCACTCTCTGCAGTTGCTGCCAGAAGTCAGCAGTCACTGCAACTTGGCTACTTAGAATTTAACCTGTCTTTTTCTCTACTTGCTTCTTCTGGCAAGCAAGTTTTTTTGTTGTTGTTGTTGTTCTGCAGTTTCACTAGGACAGGTCTCAGAATCAATTTCCCTTAATGTTAATATATTCTGTGTGGCACTTGTTGGGCATCTGAATCTGTGGATTGCTGTTACTTATTTGTTTTAGAAATTTCTGTCTTTTTTTCTTAATATTGTCACACATTCTCTCTCTTCTCCTTGTGGGATTCTGATCAAATGTATGTGAGATTTTTCTCTTGAAGGATTTTTGCTCTTTCGTATTTTCCATCTTTCTTTGCTCTCCATGATGCATTCCAGAAAATTTAACCTACTTTTTTAGTTCAAGGGTCACCAAACTATAGCTCAGGGGTCAAATCCAGGCCATTGCCTGTTTTTGTTAGTAAAGCTTTACTGGAACATAACCACACTCACTCGTTCTGCAGATTCTGGCTGCTTTCCCATCCGTGGCAGAGGTGGCCGACAGCCTCAAGGCCTGAACACTCACTGTCCTATCCTGTTCTAGTGAGTTACTACCCTTTCCAGCTTGGTCTAATCGTTTAAAATATATCCACTAAGTTTTAAATCTTAACTATTGTATTTTTTCTAGAAATTCTCCGTGGTTATTTTTCAAATCTGCTCTGACACTTTTTAAAAATTTCCTACTCCTTAATGGTATTTTCAAGTTTGTTTCATTTCTTTTAAACATGTAAAACATAGTTGATTTATACTCTAGGTAGCCTCTGCAAAGATATTCCTGATGTTTGTTCTAGCTCTTGCTCATGGTTCCTTATTTCCCTGTGTGACTAATTTAGGTGTGGGAATTCTTTCTTACAAAAAAATTATTTATAAGAATAATTTGAGGCCTAGAGTAAAATACATTTTATTTAGAGGGAGTCTGACTGCTCTGCCCAACATCTGGAAGCTCCACCATGCTAGAACCATGTCAGGCACATTTGAGGGCTGAGCCTGTTAATTTGGAGTCCTAGCTTATTGTTGAGGAAGGTCTCTATTTTGTCCATATCTTAGTACTTTTTGTCCCTTTACCCTGGGGACTTTTAAATAGAGAATTCAAATTTTCTTAGATTAGCAAATGCTATCGAGATGAAAGCAGCTTCTATGTGGAACTTTACTTTTCGAGGTCCCCATTTTCCTTTTAATTTGGGTTGGTAAAATACCTAGTTAGTTTATGTTGTATCTAAGAGTTTTAGCAGTTTTGAGTAGGAACTTAGTTTGAATAACCCAGTCCTCCATTATAAGAAATTGGAAATCAGAAGTTCATTTCTCTCTTTTAGAGAGATCACTAAGGGGGAGCTCATCTTCAAACAAAAGTAAAGATGATGAAGAATATCTCCTATGCATCTGTAAAAATCATAAATTATTCCTAGCACTTTATTAACTGCTAGACTAATAGCAATTCTGCCTTCAGAGAATCAAACCCATTTCTAATACGTCAGAGAATCATTTTTCAGAAGGGTTCTTTAGAAGGCTAGTACAATCTAAAAGTTGCTGGTATGGGATAAAATAGTACATTTAACCTCTCTGGCCTCAGAGTCCTATCTCTCAAATGGGAGTAAATAACAGCGCCTACCTTATAGAGGTGCCCTGGTGATCACTCGCTTTAATCCGTATTAGGTACTTAATACTCCAGGTATTACACAGAGAGCTTCAACTATACAAAGTCAAACAGCTCACGTCACCAAGAGGGGTCTCTGGACGACACACAGCTTTGGCACAGGGAGTACACACAATTTCTGTTACACATTCTTCTTCCTTTTTTGTTTTCTTTAAATAACCATCTAAAAATATAAAAACTGGGTGGCGCCTGTGGCTCAGTGAGGAGGGTGCCAGCCCCATATACCGAGGGTGGCGAGTTTAAACCCAGCCCAAGCCAAACTGCAACAAAAAAACAGCCAGGCATTGTGGTGGGCGCCTGCAGTCCCAGCTACTCAGGAAGCTGAGGCAAGCCCAAGCCCAAGAGCTGGAAGTTGCTGTAGCACCCTACTGAGGATGACAAAGTGAGACTCTGTCTCTTTAAAAAAAAAAAAAAA